AAGTGTAATGAAATGGTCACCAGCTTTTCTGTAAGAAAAAAACTGAATGGCACTTTGAACTTGGGGGAGAGCCATGAAGCTGTGAGGATTGAGGTGGGTTTACCTCACAGTCTTTTTAAGTAGCTCATTATTTTTATATAACACAATTAAATAAGTAATAAACACTTATTATACTGTTACAATGAAGTAATACTATAATTTGTGATACTAAGCAATAATAAATTTGAACATATCACTGTTGGAAATATATATTCTCTCACAGTTATTTAAAATATATTTATCCAGTGGGGAAAATCCCACTAAGATGAAGCTGGAATTAAGTTTAAAAATGTCTTGTCTCTCTTACCACATTGTGTTTAGTGCTTTGTGTACAAGTGATATAGAATGCTCTGTATTATCTTAGTAGTTATTTTGAATAAAGAAAGACTGTTTTTAAGCAAGCCATTGGTAAATTCCGAACTAAAATTCATTCCAAGTAAAGATTTCATCTTAATAATAACAAGCACCATGATGTCGAAAGAGAAAATGTTCAAAGAGTCTTCGCTACTGCTTTTTGCGCTTGTATTTCAATTGAGGGGACTGAACTGCTGGATGAAAGATTTCTCCTGCAAGCCCGTTTTTCTTTTTAGGTTCCAAGATAGACGGATACTTAACAGATCAGCTTTCTCATTCCAATTCATTTACAGGCAGGTGGTCCTGCTTTTAAATTTCATGTTCTGGACTCTGTTCACACAGCAAGGAGCTCCATAGGATATTATCTATTACATGCCTAGTTGGTGCCATTACTGTTACGCTGGTGATTAAGCACAGTGCTCCATAAGCACTCTGGAGCAGCGAGTTTAGTGCAGAATAGTAATAATGGAGTAATTGCTGATGTGGGCCCTAAAAATCCAGACGCTGCTGTTTGATATGATTATGAGTGTTAGAAGCCGACCAGTGCATAATGGGATTTTTCCCTTGCAATCATGGGGTAGCAGCTGACAAGTCGGGCAGCTACGTTTTAATCTGATTATCGGCTTGGGATTTTTCCTGTTTTGGGCGAGGGGCGACGCTCAGGATAAAGGGCTTCCCTCTTAGATGAAGGACCGTCGGTTGTTGTTAATGAGGGGGCATCGGTGTTAAACAGTTACCCACCGATGTGTCTGTGCTTTTCCGTGCTCTGTAGGTCTGAGGCTGCAGCCCCCTGCACGAAAAGAGACGACTACCTGGAGTGGCCTGAATATTTCATGGCTGTTGCATTCCTGTCAGCTCAAAGAAGCAAGGATCCAAGCTCTCAGGTAGGGCTGAGGCCAGGGGGCTTAAGGCTGATCAATATCGACTCCCTTCTTCCTTACCACCCTGTGTGCTGCCTGCTGGCTGGGTTTTTAATGTGAACTGAACCATTAAATATTAACCAACCTGACACACTCGAATCAAGTCTTTCAATCTGGTAGCTGGCTCTTTTGGAAGCGAAACCAATAAATCATCAGCTGGCTTTTTAGGCTTGGCTGGCAAGTTGAGATGTGGGGATTAATGAGCAGTGTAGTGAGTAAGCATGTCTAGGAGTCAGTTTTCATTTACTGCGGCACCCTGTCGGATTTAGTTTTTAATTTCATGTTTGAATTTGGGATGTTACCGTGTAGAGCAGATGGGTTTTCGAGAAAAAACGAATTTACAAAGGAGAGAAGAGCAGTTCAGACTTTTGAAGTAGTAGGAGTTTGGGGATGTAACAAATGCTGTCACTGAACTGATTGTGAGGAATATTTTTTTTTGCTGCTCAGAGAAATCAAACGGGTTCCGTGATGCGGTTTGGTTAGTAGAAAGCCCCAGGCTGGAAAAGGCAAAAAAATTCGGTCAATTTAGAGCCAGGTTTCTCTTAAACCAGATTTTTACTGAGATTCCTGGAAGGGGCAGATGACAAAAAAGAAAGCACACATCCATCTGTGGCTGGGAAGTTTTTATATTAAAACCATCTTCGCCTATGCAGAAGCATACATATTAAATATTGCTTAGCCAAAATAAAAAACTTAAGGAAGCTGTCATGCTTTCATGCTCTTTTTTTAGTTGTTTTTTTCACACGTTAGTGTCTAGAATGCCTATTTTTGCACATTTGTCTTCTGTAAAATTATACCCCTCGTATTGCAGATGGGAGGGAGGCTGGTATTGCTTATTTACGAGAAGCCTAAACCCGAGAGAGAGGGAGAAAACTCAGTGTGAGAGTCTCGCAGCAGGGTGTCTGTGGCTCCTTTAATCCATTCTGGTTTCAGCATGTCTTTCTCTCAGGCAGTGGGGTACAGAGCACCTGCTATGGGGAGTTAGGGGACTTGCAGTGCCTGCCAACTGCCAGAAAACTTAAAGTCTTTTAAAAGGAGAGAATTGAAAAAAGGGTTAATGACTCATGTGTGGTGGAAGATCTCTACGTTATCTGGATCTTAGGAAAGCAGGGTGGCGAAAAAAGGAGTTTGAGTCAGCTTGATCAAAACTAGCAAGGATAAAAAGGGCTCCTTTCTTTTTTTATGAAGAAAGGAAATTGGTATCTGTTTCATGTTGCTGTGAAGCTTGATTGTTTATGCAGCACAGTGGGAGTCCAAGGCAGGTTTTTATTCACTACAACGTTACTACAACAATGTATCTGACGACCTTGAGGAAGAAATTTGCCCCCAGAAGACAAGAAAACGAAATGCAGGTTATTATTCATAAAAGAGCGAGGCATACTCTTTTCTGTATCTATGGTTTTATGGAAAAGTTTGATTAAAAATGACTTTTTTATGCTGGAGTGAGTCACACTTGCCTTCAAATGTGTAGCATATTCCCTTCTGAAATTGAAGATCAAAAGCTACATTAAGTCTGAAGTACTCTTTGCTGAATATTGAGCACGGGAAGAGCATCAACAAAAGCAGATTAGTAATTTATCCTGACCTTGACTTACAAATGCCAATTTACAGTCATGTCAGGTGTTGTAGTATTTATGTGGAGAATCTGAGTAATCATTTAATTAAACATGTATTTGAGTAATCCTTCAATTAAACATTTTAAACAGTTTTTAATTTAAAACAAACTGTTTTTGTCTTGTAACCGTCTCTTCAAATTATCTTCTATCCTTCAGTCCCCAATAAAACATCAGTAGCCAACGCAGTTTATTTATTGTCAAAATAGTAACCTCCACAAAAGAGGTGTCATAATTTTTTATTTAATAGAAGAAAGCAACATGCTTTGATAAACATCAATCAGACAAAATGTCATTATGTTTTGACATTGAGAGTCATTGTAATTTTATTTTTAGGTTTCTTTTTCCTGAGAACTTTTAATTGAAATATTTTAAACAGATCAGGGTAGTTTAAAAAAATTTAATATGTATTTTAATACAGAAAATAGACAAAGGATATATATTGCATTGTTAAAGCACTGGTAATTTTAGGTTTATGGCAAGAGACTCTCTTAAAGAATTGCTTTCCCAGTTTTACATAGCATGGAACCTGCTCTTTACTGATGTCCTCTGATGTGATCATTTTTGACTTGCATCAACAAACCAGGCATTGATATATAGCAAGCTTGTAGCTCAGAAGTTAGGTTGAGTTCTTAGATAATCCACTGTATTGACATGACACCATATTGACATCACTTATTTTTAACAGGAGTTTTGAGATTGGTTTTCAGTCTCGTCCTGTCCAGTATAATATCAAGTCATTTTAGAGTTTGAGAAAAGTATGATTTGATGAGGCCGATGCCATGTGCTATGGTGGCTTACAGTTTGGCTGAAGTATCAGCTAAATCCTGTCGTATTTCGGTTAAACAGTTCCACTTTATTTGAGGGGTAATAACCCTGTTGTTAATATATTTCTAATACATTTTAGATGGAACAAACTACTGATCAGTTGCGTTTGTAACAAAACCCTAACCTTTACCGCAGCCTGAGCCATTTCCTTAAAATGCAACTATTTTCAGATGGTACCTAATAAAAGGTAGAGGCTAAATAGCTTTTGCAAGTTACTGGTGCTACACATTACATTATTACAAAGCTCTGCTCTCTACCGTGTTTGTAAACGTTAGGATTTTTGTATGCCTGCCTTTAAAAAGATGAATCATTCCACAAGGCTTTACCACTAAAAATAAATTTGTAAATATGCTCAATTGCTTACTGCGCGCTGTGGTAAATGGCATGTGATGTAAAATAAATATAATTTGTGACCAAATCATGAGGCAGATTTGATAAAATGTGCAATGGTGTATTCAGATCGTTAACGATAATTTGCCATTAGCGTTGAGCAACTGCGAACTGAAACTCTGTGGAACTCCAGCAGCTTTTATCGTATAATTAGCATATTTTTATCACATTCCTTCCATTCTAAATGATGCCTATCATTGTCAAACATTTTGACGGAGGACCTTCGGGGGGGGGCAGTAATATTCAGAGCGTTATTTAAAGGGGATAACTGGTTATTTTCCAGTTCGTGAGGTCTGGACCTGTGATCTTGTCCTGGGAGATTGTCAGTGACCTGTGCTTTCTCTTCTTTTAAGTGAGGTGGTCTGCTTGAGGTAAACATCTGTTTAGCAAATGAACAAGACCGGAAAGACTTGTTTGGTTTTTGGACAAGAGCCCTCGCTGGCCGGGATCATAGAAACTCCATCCCGTCACTCGGTGGTGGGAGATGTGTGGTTTCTCCTGAAGGAGCACCAGACAGACCTCCGTCCCCTTCCCTGGCCGGAGCAATCTCCGACCTCAAGCCCGCCGAACACCAGGGACGCGGGCCGAGGGCACGGCTCAGACTCGCACTCCGCTGCCCTCGTCCCAGCCTCAGCCGAAAGAAACCGATCCTGCCGGAAGAAGGGGATGAGTTCGGACTGCAAGCACTTCAGAAACCGTACAGAATAAACACCCAGTTTGAGCTGTTCTTGCTGGTCTTGGTGGTTACCCCTTTATATACTGCGTGTGTGGGAGGGTCTTCGTATTTTGCCCAGCGAGTGTAAAAATGAGCAAAGGTAAGGATTATCTGCTTTGTCAGCGCCGGTGGGACGGTCAAGTCACATATCAGTAGGTTGTATATTAGAATTTGTATGCTTGAGAATCTGGTGGTGCGCTTGTTTGTTAGCTGTGGTTAGACTCTGACAGTACACAAGGAGGAGGGGGGAGATGTTTTTGAAAGTTTGCCAGTCTGCTCACCCCCTCCTCCCTCAAGTATCCAGTTCTGCTGTAAGGGTTTTCGCTTATTCTAATTTGTATGTTGCACATAACTGCTCTGTAATCAAGAGTGCTTTCCACTCTCCTTTCTTTTTTCATTTTTCCACCCTCACAGAATCCAGGTCCTGACTGCCTGTGTAATGGGTGTCATTTTTCATGATCAAAAGCATGGCTTTGGATTTGTTGTAATTGTCTCCGACTTCATGCAAGTTTGTTTAGTCAGATAGGACTGAAAATCATGTGATATTGCTGCTAAGAGATCAGAATGTGTGTATGCCCGACAGGAGCCTAAGTTGCATGAGAATTTTGGTGTCACTCATACTTTTAGTGTGAATTTTTTTTTAGTTAAGGTTCTGCTTTGAATATTTTACTTGCTCATTTAAAATAAGCGTGTGGGATACAGTGGGAAACTTTTTTTTTTTACTTTAAATTCTACATAGTTCCAACTTTGTTTTTGTGTTTGAAATGAAATGATTTCTGGAATGTTAACTGCAGCCCACCTTCTCAGTTTCTAAGTCCGCCTTCACTGGTGTCCTGTTGCTCTGAAACTAAACTGCCAGATTGCAGACTGCAGGTGCTATGTACTGTTTTGAACTTTAGTAAAAAAATAAGTAAAATGAATGGTTGAAATGGAAGTGAGGGGATTCCTGGCACAAGTCAGACAGTTTTTGGCAATGAGATCTGCTTTGTTGACTATTGAACCATCACAGCTTGTTTTTTTTTGTCAGAGATGAATTTGGGCAGTTGTGTTCCTGTTGTCTACCCTTCAAAATAGGAACTGAGCTGCCAGCATACAACATTTCCTGTTGAGTGCCTTCTATGCCAAAATATCTTCCATTTTACAAAGCGGGCCATGTTCTTCTGTGTTTAGAGCCAAGCTATTTTGATAAAAGCTGAAGTATTCAGAGAAACGGTTACTTCTTACCATGACTGACATGGTGATTTTCCCAGGAGCTCTGTGTTTCTTGGCAAATTTCTGTAGCAAAAGAAAGCAGTTGAACGAACTGTCGTAACTACTTTTTAGAAGCCTCTTTTTTCTTAGTTCACGGAGTGTTCTTAAAAAGCAAATTGGGGCATCCTGAGTGGCTCAATCTGTATAATGGCACTTGCCTGAGCCCGCGCAGATCTCTGCGATCACGGGTTCGAGCCTGGTTCATGTAACTAGCCGACTGTGACTGGGATTCCCCAACTAGAAGAAAAGCAAACCAAAATTTCACAGTGCAGCTTAGGCTTAGACTGTGAACAATTCCGTCTTGCATTCACACAGCCGGGGAAGATTCAGTGGCTGTTTTACTACAGCTATGGGAAAAGTGGGGCGAGACTGAGCCCAGAATGCTTATTCCATCATGCCAAACCTCAGCAGTCCAGCCCTGTGATACTGGGCTTGGCAGCTGCATTTCTGAACCTGCGTCAAGTAGATAGATGTGAATAATAGGTGGCTAAAATTACAGCCTTCATAACATTTGTATTATATTACATATTTGTTTTTTTTTGGCTCCACAGCACAAACCGTTTTATTTTGATTTTGGTCTCCCTGTCCATGACTAAACTGTAGCATAATTGCAGATGCAAATATCGTCTGACTGAAAGCTTCTGTTGTAACCAAGTTTAAACAAAGTGATGAGCAGTATCTTCTTATGACGGGACAGCGGGTCAGGACTTTTTCAACAAGGCAGGCAGTTAAATCCGGACCGATAAAGATTTCGGCACCAGAAGGAGAAGAGGGAAGTTTTTTGCGTTGTTTTACCATTGGTTCAGACGTACAAGCTTTTTATTCTCAACAAGTAAAAGTTTGTTGCACGAGGTGTATCCATGTGGTGATTTTGTTCCTACGATGCTGTATTTTGCAGTAGTAGAATATACAGGGCTGTCAGTAGTTCTGCTGCTCCTTTGTACTTTGACTTGAATAATTTAATCAAAACTTTCAGTTCTTTAAATAATTTGATTGTGTCAAAACGTACATGTTGCAGATAAACTCTTGAGGTATAAAACCTGACCTGAAGCACAAGACATTGAGGGTTTACTGCACTTGAGGATTACTAACAATGTACATGCTCCGTGTTGTGTGAAACTCCCCAAGACCTAGCATATTTTAAGGCCGTGGCCACCATGACACAGAATTTGTGGCATTTGGTCTGTTTGACTGTCTGACTGTGTCCCGCTCTGTGTGTAGGTCGGGGCCTGCATTGTGAGCCCCGAAAACAAAATTGTGGGCATCGGCTATAATGGAATGCCTAATGGATGCAACGATGACCTGCTTCCCTGGAATCGGACCGCGGCGAACAGGCTGGATACCAAATACCCTTACGGTAAGGAGTTCTGACTGAGGCCCGTCAAGCTGGCTGCTCGTGTGTGCTGAAGTGGCTTTGATAGCAGTCTGGTTGTATGAAGGATGAATGTTTTTGGACAGAAGCTGGCCGTTTTGTTTTCTTCTAACTGTGCCTACGGACAGGTTGGTCAGGTTGGGCTGATGCCCGAGCTGTGATTTAGAGAAGATGTAAGAACCATGTAGGAGGGAAGAAAGAAAACCCCACAGGGGCTGGTATTTCGTTTGCTTGCATGAAAGCTCTGGCCTTGGTGGATCATTTTGAAGAAGCTCCTGCCTTTTCCGGTGGAAACGGAGAAAAGTGTTTGACAGTGAGCTGTTCCTGTCCCGCACCTCGCCTCTGGGGAAAGGCAAAACCAGCTCTGAAACAGAACCACCGAAAGAAGGAGATTGAACCTGCTGTGTCAAGGGGGTCCTTTTAGTTTTTAAACATCTCCCATCAAGTTTTGTGATTCCGCTTTCCTCTTCTCCCCCTGTTTCCTCCTCTGCTTGCGTGCCGTCAGTTATCAGGTTTGAGACCCGGTTGGACAGGTAGACTTCTGGAGTGCAGAGCAACGTGAGCCATAGCAAAGCTTTTAACAGAGTCTATTCTTTTACCATAAAAACCCAGTCGTGCTAATCCACCACAAATCTTTAGGTAAACCCAGGTGTCTTATGGAATTATAAGTGGGGTGTATGGATAAATGAAAGGCCTGCTTTGCACATCAGCTCTGATGCTTTTAAAAAACGTCTACAGATCTATATTTTACGAATCTGTAGATGAGACTCCTCTCCATAAATATTCTGCATACTACCAGAAACAAGAAGCTTTTACCCTGCTGCGCGTTTTAGCATGATCAGTGACTTTGGCCTGTAGCATGCCGTCTTTTCATGCCTGTTCTAGATTGTAGGTTCTTGTATGTGAATCTTTGCTGTGATATCTTACGAGATGTCAGCATGTACACTCATTAAAAAGCAGTTGGGTTTGTAGGTCTCTTTCAAACTTAAATCTCACAGAACTGTATTAATTCTTGTTCTACACCAGACACCTAATTCCAGTGAAGTAGGATGTTTTAACCTGAAGAGGGCACCAGTTCCTAATACTTCCCAATCTGCAACATTAAAAGCACGTTGTTTTTGGCTTTTCCGTTGCAGAGGAGGGTTATTCAGGTAACAACAACGTGCAGTAAAACAGTTTTTGACAACGCTTAAAAGGATTTTAGGGAGACCGGCAGCTTGGAATTTGAAGCTGTTTTTTTTTTTGGTGTGAGATTGTTTGCATGTTCTGAGTTGGCAGGGTTCAGGGCAGTTTCTAGAGCTCTGCCAGCGCTCATTTCGCAAGAAAATAAACCAGTCCAATAGCAGCCCAGAAGCTGAATTTGGCACATTCTTTAGGTAGCAGATGCCTCTTTGGAAGAATCCTTTAGGACAGAGAGTTCAGCCGCTGTGAGAATCTGAGGAAGTAAGATGTAAGAGGATTTGTTTGGCTGTTATTCGGCTGCTCCTTTTAACCCTTCTGTGCAGTTGTGAAGCCTTGCCGACTAAATTAGCAAAAGGACATGAACCAGCCTGTGTTCTGGGCTCTTCCACTCTAATATAAAACCTTGAAGAACATTTACATAGAAATTATACACTTTAGTCAGCATGGTCCAGATTTATGAAAAACAGATTTTTATTGGGTAGGTAAATATGAAAAATATCACAGTAATATTCCCTATAGATCGTGCAGTGTAAGCTTCATCCGTCCTAAGTAGTGCACCCTTCGTATTTTACTGCAATATTATAATTTTTCAACATTTCTGTACTGACATAAAAAAAAACATTTTAAAAAGACCTCCGTTCTGTATATTCTCCTTCTGGTCCAACACTCTTAACACAGACAGTAGAAAGTGAGTCAGTCTTTCAGCTGTGTCTGAAAATTGTCTCAATTGTTTGTGCAGCACTTTCATCCTAAAAGATTTTTGCAAACGGATTTCATCTTCGCGGTGTCGAGCTTCTTGTGTGAGGCGCGGCTTGGCTTGGAATAATTCTTTTTTTTTTGTTGTTGAGACTTGGGGGGGTAAGGCTTCACAGTTGGCTGAGATAAAGCTGTGGCTCCTTCTCTGCCATCCTTTCACCCGCAGCTCATCTAATTAGTGAAGTTTGGCTGAATTTGAAGGACACGCCACAGCTTTTAGCCCACGCTGGCTGGGCACCTCGCTGGTGGCTGCACAGCACACCTGCACACGCACAACTTGAAGCAATGCTGCGTTTAAATCGAGCGGTTGATTACAGACGGCCAGCTGCACTTCCTTTTTAGACGTGGATAAGCAGGTGAAAAAAAACTTTTTATCGAACCTAAAAGCGACAGTTCAGAATTAAATTGGTCTTGGGCTGTCTGTCCTTTTTGTGAATTACCTTTGGATTGTGGAAATATAGGACGATCACAAAACGGCAGGCTTCTGAAGGTAATTGAAAACAGTTTGCGTCACTATCTGGAGCACAAGGGTGTTTTCTTTTAATGGTATTCAAGTACAAATCTGACAGAAACCACAGGGAATGCACACACAGCTGTCAAGAATACATCAACTAGAAACCAGTCCCCTATTAGTAGGAAACATTGTTCTCTTTGAAAACAGCCGTCATGATTAAAAGTGTGAATGTTACGAGATTTCTTTTCTTCTCAAAAGATCATAACCTTGTGAAAAGGACTGGTTCCTTTTTCGACAGAATAAATATCAATATTGTGTTAAAGGCTGCCATTTGAAACAAAATGTGTTTTGTCAGGCCCATGTGGTGTTGATGCGTTCAGTCATTTAGTAGTGATGTTAACTCCTTTTCACAAGAAGAAACCAAACATCAGGTAAGCATCATTGCAGGTAAACGGTGCTAATTTAATACCAAATTAAATGGGTGTTTAATAGTATGCACGTTCTCATTCATAAATGAACACAGTCTGTCTGTTTTGTGATGAAACAACTTTGAATGTCTCATACAATGGCTGATAATATTCCTAAAATAAAAAACCCAAATAATAAAGATCACATTTAAAACCAATCTGCCCAGATAACTGACAGTTCCACGCTGTGGAAACGTGCTGGGAATGCGAATACAATGGAGTGAAGTTTGCTGGCAGTTTGTTGTGGAGCTGGTTATGGGTTTTACTCCATTTAAAGCACTTGGTCAATAACTGTTACCACAACAGTAACTTAATTACTGTATGATGAAATAAAGTGGAATTTATCAGTCCCCAAACATTGGGAATATGAACTGCTGAGCTCTTTCTGCGACAGCCAGTGGCAGCCGTCTCCAGTTGGTCACGACGGGTCAGATTCAGTGAGAAGGGTGGGCTGCTTACCCGCTGCCTGAATACCTGACCAGATTTGGGTCTGCAGCGCGAGCTTCTTGTCCGACGTAAAGGACAAAAAGCCCTACAGTATGTTGATGAATGCTCTTGCTCACAAGGGCATGGTGGCGCCCTGACCTCAAGGACTCTGCCCTTCGGTGTCTGGCTCTGTGGAGTTGGTGTATTCTCCCAGGGAATGTAGGGCCTTTCTTGCCGGGTGCAGTGGTTGCCTCCCATCATTATTTCATTCCTTTTGTCTTTCAATATTTTGATGGAAAGAGACCACCCATCTCTTCACTCCGTCTTCTCGCCGACTTTCTGATAAGAACTTGTATGTGCTGCGGATGGAGGGCGTTGGTTTTAAATAGCACTGACCATGCTGCCGTCGTCTTTCTCTCAGTGTGCCACGCGGAGCTGAATGCAATTATGAACAAGAACTCAGCTGACGTGAAGGGGTGCACGATGTACGTTGCCTTGTTCCCCTGTAACGAATGCGCAAAACTCATCATCCAAGCAGGTGAGGAACTGACTGTGTCAGCTTTGGCAGATTTCTAATGCAGCGTGATTTTAAGCATCTAAATATAAATTCGCAATAAGCTCAAATATCCACTTCGGTATTTTTTTTTTCCCCTGTGTGTTTGAATGATACCGAGGTGTGTCTCCTCTCTTAGCTTAATTGCTTTGACTAATGATTCTGAGGATATCCTTTCTTTTAGAAGTGCTTCTAGATGGGGTGTAGGGTACAGGAGAAACATGTCTAGTGAATCTAATTACTGTCGGTTTTGTTCTTTTCAAAGGTTCCTTGTTTACTTTGAACAGATTTAAATTAGCAGGGGGAGCTGGAGTGCACATGAACTGACCCCCAGAGGGAATGAGATCTGAAAACTTCATGCCCGTGGGGTGAAAGCTAAAAACAAATGCAGTCGGAGATACCACGGAATTTTGTCATCCGTACTTTCTGTGTAGCTCAGGAACAAATCCCAGGGTTAGCTTTTCTCTCCGCAAATTTATTTTTTTTCTTCATTTTCTCTATAGGAGCCCCTGCTGTTGGTGTTGGGATGCAGAGTCTCTGTAGGCTTAACTTAAGCTGCATATTGAAATGGGATCGAAGTTTCACCCTCTAATCATTAAGAGGGTTGTCGAGCCTCCTTCCCACTGCACAGTGGGGGTATAAGCTACATCTCCAGGCTGTCACGTCATTAGGAAGCATCTTGCCTCTTTCTTTAATGCGTTCATGTTTATTTCACCTCCACTTCTCATTTCTCCATCAAAGAAAAAAACAGCTGATTGCAGATACATTTCATAAATCTTGTTAGTATACACATACCAAGATGAAATCTGATCACGGCTTGCTCCCAGTAAAATCGCAGTTTACTCCCTGAAATAGCTAGATATCAGCAAAAGGATTGAGACAACAGCTGCTGTGCATGTGTGGGTGTCCTACTGTACTTTTAATCACTTACTGTATATGCATTTTGTTTTTTTTTATTAAGAAGCGAATACAAATAAGAAGCTCAATTCGTATTTATATCTAAATTTATTACCGTGTTTAATACGATTTTTTTGCCTTTTCCCAGCACGCCTCATAGTTCTTACAACTCAAACTTACACTGTGCTTAATTGTGCAAAACATTATTTGTCAAAACAAGGACTCTTAAATTATAGCATTTTGGAAAGACCATGGATCCGAGCTTTTACGTTGTATGAACAGGTAAAATCCTTTAAATACAGCTTTAGGAATTAAATGGGAGCTCATATCTAGAGTGAAAAAGTAGTAGAAAGCTATAGTTGATGGAAAACACAGGAGCACAAGCTTCCTGAACTAAAGAGTACATTCAAACTGAGCTCCGTGTAACTCATTTTATGGGTGCATTTCCTTCAAATGTATAAATCTTTTTGAATCAACTGTTGCTTTAAACATTCTCGGCTTCTAAACTTCACAAGGGAAGCTTGAGGGTTACGTCTGTGGGTACAGAAAAGGAGGGTAGGTGGCGCTCTTGGCTCATTCATAAGTCAGGAGCTGCTGGTCTTCACCTCGGCGTGTGGAGTTCTTCAGCGAGCCAGATTGAACTGATTTAGAAAAAGGCAGAGGGGAGAAGCCTTTCAAATGACTTGTTTGGAACCGAAGTAAAATGAGTAATGCTGCTTTCAGCCAAGTAAAAAAAAAACAACAAACCCTTTTCAAGTTCCCATTTATTTGTCATTCCAGCCATATACAAATATATAGTGGAACGAAATATCATTCTTTCTGGTCCACGGTGCAAATACAGACAGGACAGACAGGATAGACATTATAGACAGGATACACATAGTGCAAATTACAAGACAAATACATCATACAATATACACAACACACTGGGGGGGGGTTTAAACCCTGTTTCTGGAATTGGAGTGGGTGCAAGTAGATTCCAGGGTGTTGAGGAGCTAAAGCCCAATTCTAGACTTATTTTATTTGTTAATAATAAAATGGTTAGACTCTGAAATGAACACCTATTTTCAGTGGTGATAACAATGTCAGAAATGGGAAGTCTTTGCCAAAATGCAGATCGTTGCCATATTTAGCTTTTGTCATTTTATAGATCAAATCAGGTTTGTTTAGGGTATTTGCTACCTCGTTACTTGGCCTTAATTATTTAAATGCTGTATTTATTTGGACAGATATGATAGGACAGACATTCATTTGAACTTGAACAGGATAAAAGTCACGAACTGTCTAAATATGTCAGGGAACGTGTGTTTCTAATGGGCAGGAAAATGATTGGAGTGGCAGATTAATAAGAGTCCCAATAGCCTCATTGAGTTCAGGAGCAGGGTCTGTAGGAGTCAGTTTTGTTCAGTTGATATGAGCTCTTGCTGTAGGTTAGGAGAATAAATTGAGTGAAATTACAGGCCTGTGTGCAGGCAGGAAAAGTATGTGAAATGGTGATTGCATTTTAATGTTGTTTAATTATGCTGTAGTTGCTTTCTCTTCTAATTTAGTGGCTCTCTGGTCCTTTTTTCTCACCCCTCTCCTGATTTCATCCAACACCTCCTATTGTGTTCCCATTAGCTCCTCTGCTCCCTTTGTTTTCCTTAATCCCCTCCTATTGAAATGCTAACAGTGGATCTCTCAACTGTTTACAGCTCTGGCAGTATCTTCCATTGTTGGTGGGGCACGCCTGAACGCAGTGCGTCAACCCTAGAGCTGGGGGATGAGCGAAAGGATGAGAGAGTTTTACCCTGAGAAGTTTTTCTCTCGCCTTTTCAGAAACCAGGGAGCGTAAATCACCCCCCCCCCTCGTTTGCGATGGCAGTTTATGGTGCAATTCATACTTTCTATTAGATTGAGAGGACTTTATCCTACTTTTCTCTGCGCTAGATCCCCTGCTGCTAAAAGAACTGCATTTTTTATTCCTGGGAACAAGAGTTTGGCATCCCCTGTTATTTCAGAATAAAAAATGGAAATCTTTTGAGAATCCTAAGTGGCCCATTATTAAAAAGCCCATTTAGGGAACATTATGTCCCTGCTGTTCTGTTCTCATCCAAAGGACAGGTGACTGCAGAACGGCAGAGTCGCAGACGAAAGTGAGTCAACCTCCGCCGTTATCTGGCGAGAGATGGACCCCCGAGAGAGAGGGGAGGAATGGGGGGATAGGCAGGTATTTCATCAGCTCGGCCAGCGGGTCCTGCCGTTAATCGATCAGCGAACGCGTGCTGTCTCTCACTTCCACCCTCTTCGTATATCAGCGCTGGACATTTCTTCCTCCTGAAAACCTCTTTCTGAGAATGATGCTTGCTCAAGTGTTTCTTAAAACGCTGGAGTCTCTAGTCTCGTAGTTTTACTAAATTAAGTGTGGTTCACATTTTGTGATGGTGAGGGAGAAAAACCTTTCTGGTGGAGATTTAAACTCTTCTCGAGGGGAAACCATACACAAAAGCAAACGTAGGAAAACTCGGCCTTTAGGAATTAGTACAAATTAAGAAACAAAGTCTTTGAAAGTTCAACATTTCTTTTTAGAGACCTTTTTTAAATGCGATTCGTTTTATGGAAGATAATCATTATTTTGTAGTGTTGCTTGTTTTTACAGAATCTTTGTGACTTCTGTTCGACTTGGACCACTATATGCTGACTTTAAAAGAGGCGTTCTGGATGAAAGTCTGGCTATAAGAAAATCCTGCTGTCTTCCACTCCTAAAAGCTTGTAGTTTTTGTCAGGTGAAGTGTGTCATTTCATTCACTGGGGAAAAATGAGACTTGCATAAATAATCATCCATATTCATAAGAATTATGGAAATTCTTTATGACTTCACAAAGGTCAAAACAGTTGTCTCCCAGTGCCTTCAGCTTGTCACTTATCGTAGTAGTGCCTGTCAGCATTCGCCTCTCGAGGACTTGTAGAAAGGCAACATTTTCGGAGTACTATCATCTAAAAGCACACATCTTGTCACAAGCAGGTCATGAACATCGGGCACAATGAGATATACAAGCATTTGTGACAAGCAGTTGATAACCACAGTGGCCTGAATTCCGGTGGTCTTCTTCAAAGAACAAGATGTATCTGATTAGACCGGGAAAGCACTCTGCATATCAGACGTCTTGACGTCTTTGGAAAAAAAAAAGTTTTCTGCATTTTCACAAACGTTATCAAGGACATACTTTAGGAGCCATTCAGTTAGTCATTTTTGTTTCACGATAGTGGTTTCATACAGTTAGAATATTGATATCCTAGTGTTTAATTTAATTAAAATTCCTGATCTGTTAATGGCACTAAGGATGATGGTCGGGACATTGAATCAATTGTAGCCTGCATCTAAACATACGCAGTAGAAGGAGAATATACGTATTGCGAACAGAACAAGCAAATATAATGGTATAGCAAACAAAGAATTTTTAAATTGTAAATTACAGATATAGCTTTTTTGTGAGCTCTAAAATTAAGAAGCAAGGTTTGCAGTCAGTACTTTTGAGGATGAATATGTGACTTGGGTCCCCTCGTAGTCTACTGTGTTCAGAAGACTCAGTTGTTTTAGTGTCAGAGTAGGGCGGATTTATTCAATGTGATTGTTCTTTAATTGCGAAAGATCATACACTTTAACGTACAGATGTATTTTATAATGTGTTCTGTTATCTTTTATTTTGTTGTGGATTATACTTTGGTTCAGTTTTTTTGTGCAATGTTTTTTCATTGCCTGCATTGGATGTGCTGAGGCTGACCCTATAGTATCTTCGCACAAGATCGTTTTCATAGACACACCCAGCGGAAGTTATGGGAAAGAAATGCAAGCAAAATTGTATGTTGAGTTATATTTGTTATTTTGTATATTGTGAAAGGTGTCCTGTCTTGTGTCCTGTCCGGGGTGTGGTCCTGCCTTGTGTCCTGTGATGGACTGGTGTCCTGTCTGGGGTGTGGTCCTGTCTCGTGTCCTGTGCTTCTGGGATAGGGTTTGGGTTGCTGCAACCTGGACCAGGAATGATCAGCTTTGACACGAATTGATGTTTATTTTGACTTTGTTTATGACTATCTTAGAAACCTACTGCTGCCACCCTTAAACACACACACACACAAGTTTGAATATGCTGCATAAAACTGT